GATAAAGCACTTTCAAGTGTGAGAAGAACTTGAATGTTGCTTGGGTTTGGCCAGGATTGACAATTCTCAGGAAAGTGTTCTTTGTACTTAATCTTCAATCTTGTTTTTTTCCATGAAGTAAAAAATACTTTCAAGTGCTTAGCGATCCAGTGGAAACACTTTCAAGTTATTCGTTAGACAAACTGTCAAGTGCTTTTGGTGAGCGGTTTGCTTCATGTTAGCTATGAAGCATGTTGATCCATTTCCAGGAGGCAAACAAAGGTGGGTGTAATGCTCAAAAACTCTGTATTTTACAGTATTTTTGTGAAGAGACGCAGGATCATTAGGGGTACTATATATGTGTGTATGTATGTATGTATATATATATATATATATGTACCTATGTATGTATGTTCACACACCGTCACCCCCCCTCTTGAACTACCCCTCCACATTGCTCATCTACTACCTCCGCCTTTTGAGATAGAATGAATTTTGTTTTCCTGTGCAAATAGAACTTTAAATGCAACTGATTCAGCTAGAATCCCTGTTTCGATATAGTTTTAGAATTTGAACCTCTCTTCCCTTGAAATTTCCTTTTGGAACACCGTCTAACAAGTTAATTTTGGACCCTTCTTATGCTGCAAAAGGGCCAGGATAAAAATAACACAAATCGTATTTCGAATTTCCTTGTAGAAGTCCCTCAAATGTTTAGCCATATTTGATACGAATTAAATTTGAGAAGTAGTCTCTATTTAACTGTTATTATGAAAAGCTAATTGAGCTGTGTTCGTTTTATATTTTTCTAACACTTAGATCATATTTGGGAATAAACTCCTAACTTCTTTTGTTGAAGATTAGTTAGAGTTTGCCCGAAACTATACTATATTCTCATGTAGCTCCTATTTGGAAAGGATTTGCTTGTATAAGCTGTAGTTGAGCTATGTTGAGCATAAACACATTGTTGAACACTATATCCTAATCAAATTATATTCAAAATCCAATTCTAGTTGAAGTAAAATCCTACTTGGAAAGGGTATCATATTGGGGCATTTCGGATCTTGCCGTGATGGACTGCAAGACCATTCGTAAGTGCTTAAAATCTATTTCAACAAATCTAAACTCTACAGCCTGCGCTCTGAAATCAAGCAACACCTAGACAATAGGGGGGTAGCATATAAATATATAAATAGTATGTTTCTAGTCGTTCTGCGCTGTTCCGCTTCAGGTGTCCCAGTGTCCCGGTGGCGCCTTGCTGTTCTGGTGTTGCCGTGCTGTGTTTACAGTGGTGTCTTGTGGCTGGTGCTGCAGTTTGCCTGTGCTGCCCTGACAATGTCCCGGTGCTGCTTCAGTTGCTGCTCCCGGTGTTGTCCCAGTGGTGTCCCGAGTGTGCCCTAGGCAGTGTCCAGGCGGTGACTGTGCTCTGTTTCTGGTGTCCCGATGTTCTTCCAGGGTCTGGACGATCCACAAGAATTGCGAGGTGCTGGAAGTTGCTGTTGCAATGGGGGTCTGTCGATGGGTCAATATTGAAACTAGGCCAATCGGAACAAGCGACAGAAAGCAAGGTGGAAAGCAAGCAAGCGGCAGCAGAGCTGCCGGCAAAAACACTCTCTTGCCTGCTTCATGCAAATGGCGAGCGATTGTTTTGGCTTCAGTATCCATAGCATGAAGAGATCAGCAGGCATAGGGCTGCACATTCACATGCGTGGAGATGACTGTGGAGGGTTCCATCTTGCCTCAACCAACTGTTCCAGCAAGCCAACATGGGAGGCCGGAGCACCGGCCTCGCTGGGCCAAATATGCGAAAAGCTCCGCCTCTGTCCTCTTGCTTGCAGAGCGGAATGTGATTGGTATAGTCCTTTCGCCTGTAGGTTTCTGGTTCGGAAAGATTGCAAAAGGTTTCGTGCTCCTCATCTCAGCCTTCTCTCTTCAAGACTGAGCGAGGTAAACTATGTCATCTACCACAGGATAGCCAGTAGGGCATAAGTCACCTGAGGTTATCCAGTTTTCTACTGATCGAAGTCGAATGAAGCATCCCTTTCACTTGTGTTTCAAGAGGATAGGCTCAGGTACCCTCAGCTTCCAAGATGGTTCTTGACAGGGTAAATGTTTTCTCAACACCTGATCAATCTAAGCAGACTTTACCATGGGTCGAGATTCAATTCAGGAACGTGCTGTTTCATGTTGTCTTTTCACTCCCGCATATTTTCATAACAAATGAGCTCGTTTTGCACCAGCACTATCAACATCCACGGCATCGTGTTCAACACCCGGCGTCGTTTTCACATCCCCGGCATCGGTTTTACAACTCTCAGCATCGCCAATGGGCTCGCTGGTTTAAGCTTTGCTTCAGCTTGGGTTCAAGGTTGGCTTAGGGTTGGCTAGGGATGTTCACGTAGGGTAAGTTCGGGTATATAGGGTAGCTTTGGGTCGGGTTTAGAGTGGGTTTAGGTTCGTCTAAGTTTGGTTTAGTTTTAGTCGTGGTTTAGGGTGGGCTTGGTGGTGGTGTGGAGCTGGTTTAGCGTGGGTTTAGGATCAAAGCCCCAACAAGTCACGAAAACCGCAGCAAGTCGAATGGTGGGTGCTTTTGGGTTCGTTTGGGGGTGGGTGATGGGGATTGGGCGGGGGGGGGGGCAGGCCAAGAATAAGGAAGGACACCACTACAACCGCCATTGTGGCTCTGGGAATGTGGAAAACCAAAAAGCCACCCGCCAAGCGTGTTGCTCGTTATGCGGAGGAGGTGGAAAGCCAAAGCCACAACAGCCGCAACAATCAGGCTTTACAGAAAGGAGCCACCAAGCAACCTGTCACTTCCCCGTGTCCTGCTGGCCACCCAGGGCCGCTGCCCGCCAGAGCACAGCCGGTTGAAAGCCTGCGACTGACAAACGCGCCAGCATCCAGCAGCCAATGGCAGCCATCTGCGTGTTTGTTGCACTCATAGGAAAATATAGGAAACGCACGAGAGAAACAACATGACACTTCCAGTCCCTGCTTCCCGGGTGGGCACTTCGGTTGTCGTTGTACATTGACTTGGCCTGCTGTGCATTTTGACCATTTTCAAAAGCTTGACAGGACCAAACAAAACGGCATTAGCTATCGGGAATCTGTGTCTATGATGACTTTCTTTTCTGTGACTCTCTGTATCCCGTCGAACTCCCTCAGCGAGGCTTTTTCCTTGCCCGTGCCGCCCATGCAACGTGTGACGATCCACCAAGGCCCTCAGAAGGGCAAGCTGCTGGGTCCTGGGATTGTAGAGAAGCCAATGGCACACGTGTTTCACATGATTTCTGTACACTATCAAATTGGTGGACATACAACCGCATGTGCAATCAAACATCGTGTGATTTCACGCCACTTTGAAGCTTTGGCCACTGCCCAAGACTAGGGCCACTGCCCGGAGCATGAAGGCGCCTCACACGACCGGCGTGCCAGCGAGACACAAAGATTAAACACAAAGCCCTCAGCCCAGTTGGACTGCGGGGCCAAAGATCTCAGACAAGCGGCACCACTTCATGGTCGTCGTGTGCCTTCAGGGGATAACTGGCAATGCCAGGCTGATTCTGTGTTTCTCTCCACCTCCTTCACGAGACGGTCAATTGATTGTTCCAAACTACCAACAACTTGCCTGCATGCTGTCTAAGCTTTGAAAGGCACGATGCATCTACGGCTTTTTCCGCGGATCAACGTCTGCAAGCTGAACCACACAACATGACCAACTCGACTGGAACCATCTGCTTCACTCACGAGCGCCTGGACCTCATCTTCCTGCCAAGCAGAGTCTGTACAGCTGTTTGGGCTTTGGGCGTTGGGATGTGGGCTTTGGTCAGGCTCCTGCCTTCAAACATGGCACGTGGCTCCACATGTTTCGCTTCACCCCAAATCCTGCTTGGGGGCTTGGCCATCGCAACCCTTTTGGGCAAATCACTCTACTTCACTGACGCAAGGAATCCCGAAGTCGTACTAACCTTCACCACACGTCTTTGCGAGGGTGCTAGGGGGGTTGAGGACTGGACCATGAGCATAGTCTCATCTGTATATTGACATGCATTTGTCACCACAGCCATTGCAACGAGAACCCGGCCTCATCGGAGCCCTCCTGGCGTGTTAGTCGGAGGGGAGGCTTAGCTTAAGCGGCATCTGGACCCTCGACCCTCACAAATGGCTGATTTATGTTGTTTCCTTCTTTCCATTTGCTTTTCGTGTACATCCAAGGGTTGCTAGGTTTGACAGAACCCCGCAACGACCAGTGAATTTGTGACCAGCTCAGCATCAAATCAGATCAGCTCGTGTGCAAAACGCACTTGTCAACATCACATCACACGCGGGATCGCTTCAGCTTTTGTGCAAATGGCTTCAAGCCATCAAATACCCCATACGCAACTAAGCGCATCTAGGAATCATGGCCACAGAACAGAGAGCATTGAGACCATCTCATCACAGTATCTGCCCGTTGTATGCCAAGGAGACATCCCGGAAGTGAAACATACATTGTCTCTGTTGCTTTTAGAAACGATTTTCACGAGGGTGACACCATGACATCACCATTTGAGAGGGCGCCCGCTACCCCCGTTTGACACCCGGAAGAGGGTTCGCTGTCTTAAGACACAGCCGAATTAGCAGCTTGCCAGGTGCCAGTCCTCTTCTTCAGCCTCCTTCTTGGCCTCCTGAGCAAAGCTGCGAGCAAGCATCTCAGCCATCGGCATGCGTGACAACCAAACAGGGTCGACAAGAGAAGGCATCCCAAAGTACAATCCCGTCAGGGAATGGCCTGGAATGACTCATTTACCCAGGTTTTGGTTTTGGCTCAAATCGTGAACCTTGGATTGGACAGGTATGCTGGCACCATGCAGAAATCCCGAATCGGCTCATAACACTGCGCCTTGCCTCGTTCTGAATGCGCCTCATGATTCCTGAGGCGAAGATGCCACGACATGCTCATGGAACGTCAGGTCGTGATGATGGATTGCACAGGAGCACATTTTAATTTTGCGATGGAAGCTCTCAGGCAAAGCTTTCGTCACTCAAACCTTGAGATTTGTCGTTGGGCTTAGGTCAACCCACTCCCTCTCATGACCGGAAGAAATTCTGCAATGACGAACAAACTTCAGAATTGGGCCAACACTCAACGGTAGCTCGACAACAAAGTGTTATGTGATTCAAACAGCCCAGAGAATTTGCTCCGGCGTCAATCGGCGATGGGTTTGTCTCCAATGCGGAACCTAAATGAATGACATGAGTGACTTCAAATGCTCGGATGGGTTTGCCTCGCTGGGGCCGTGGCTCATGAGCTTCGAGGCAAAAAGGCCAGCGCCAGAAGCCGCCACGGAGCCTTCTACGCCGAAGGCCTCCAGCTAACAAAACTCGGAGAGGAAGTTTCGCCACAAAACTCAAACTTTGGAAACACGACTCGAAGAACAGTCTCTCTGCCTTTCTCCGACTGACGTGTTGTGTTTTCAAAGTAACAACTGCAATGCGATCGTGATTACTCTCTAATTGCAGTGTGCGCCCGTGCATGGTGCCAAGCGCAAAGCTACAGGACGTGGACTTTGAATTTAGGGACCAGGGACCCAATCGCCACACAATGCCAATTTGGAGATGTTGGCAACCACTCTGCTCCGAGGCGCCACCCGCAGCTGCAGGCGGCGCTGCATGAGTTGCTCTGGCGTCCACGCCAGGAAGGAGGTTGCCGAGCTTGCCTCCCACTAACACATACCCCCAACATGGGACCTGGTGTCCCCCGGTTTCCCTGTCAAATGAACAAAGAAATCGTCGGCAAGAAGACACACAGACTTGGAGCCCAAGGCTTTGAAGGGAAGATCTGCGAGCTCCAGCCTGCGTGCTCGGAGTCAAGAACGCTCCCAGCTCGCTTCTGTGGGCCTTGCGCAACGGCGTGGACTCGGCCAGCACTATCCAACATTATCCAACTATTGAGACTGACCACCGCAACTCCACCCAGTACGTCAGAGAGTCACACAAACAGCAGCCAGGCAAGTATAGTTCGGGCCAGTCAAGACTTTGTTGCTTCTAATTACGTCAGTCTACTTGTAGCAATCTGCTTGAAAGGTATGATCCTTTGCAAGTGGTGCCAACTGGCGCCCCTATCTGCGATCAAGCTTGAGTGCCCGCCTCTGTGGCATCAAGGACGTGCGAATAATGATCCTGCCCAAGCCCCAAGCCCCAAGGCTTTGCTTTCAGGTTTCCACTGTTTCCACTGGCCCTTCACCACTCCCGAGGGATTCTGGTGTCTAGCCCGGCCGCTAGCCTCTATGTGAAGGTTTGGACTGCGACTTTGGAGACAGTGAACAGCCCCTTCCCAATTCAACTTGCACGTGACGCTCTGGTGGTCCAAGCAGCGATTTCGCATTGCTGCTGCTTATTTGTGTGAAGCAAACTCTGTCGGAAACGCCCACGCGTCATCTCCAGACCTCGTGCCCAGTCCACCAGGAGGTCAGCAAGCTCTCTGCTGCATGCAGCAGGTCCGGCTCCAAAGGCATGGCAGCCGATGCCACTGCGCGTTTTTCCGGTCCAAGCCTGAACGTGTACAATAAGTCTTTCTGCTCGCATGGCTGCTCCAAACAGAAATTGGACTGTGCTGTGCATTGAATGCTGTAGCAGAGTCTCTGTACTGAAACCCTGCGGCGAATGCATGCCTGTTCGTCTGGCAGGGTTTGATCCAGGCGCGCATCAAGCCAGATTCCGAATACAAAAGAACAACTGCATTCACCCGTCCTCTGCCGGTCCGAATTCTTAATAGCAATTCCACTTGTCACACCACAAGAAGAAAAGACACCTGGATGGCCGATCACTTGCAGCTTGCACAGCGTATGTCCTAGCCTCCGAGGCTTGCGCCTCGCGGTCCCTGAGCGGTTGAGGTATCTGCGTCTCTGTGCGTCTGTTTGTGCGACTCTGTGTGTCGTATGGGGCACCCTTTCCAGTCGGCATGCTTCAAACTTCACCTACCTTCTTGTAGGAGTGAACCTCTATGTTGACCACACCCACACACAGTCATTTGTTGCCAGCTTCTGATTCATGCTGCTCACTGCACGACGCTGCGGCGCCGTATCTTCCAGATTTCCTTTCCTGTGTACCGCTACAAAAAGCGAAAGTGTTTGGCAGTCAATGCAGAAGAGTCCTTTTCCGCAAGGTCACACGGGCAGAAGGTGAAATATGTTTCTCCCATAGCAACCTGAGCGCACTACCCCGGCCTTCCACGTCGCCTCTCCTAAGCGTCATGGCGTCTTGCCCAGAAACCGGTCCCGCCCCAACGCCCAATTCTCCAATCGAGTGTGTCTTTTTTGAGGGTACCCTTTTTAGGGTTGGTTCAAAGGGGAAGCAACGCTTTCGGGGGTCGCCTGAAAACAAAAAAACAATTGATTGAACGGGTCATCCCAATCCAATACTGCACGAGCCGCAGCCAGCCACGGCCCACGCTGATTCAAGTGTTCGCATCCCACAAACGTCTTCCCTTTCGTTGAAAACCCTTTCTTGAATTAGTGCCGAGGGCGCGGCAAAGTGCTTGTCTAGCTTTTCAAAATGCTGCTTGGCACCTGCTCTCTTTGACTTGAAGGTGCTATGGCCCCTGGCATCCTCCTCAACTCCTGCCACAGTCTGAGCATGCGACTCTGCTCCAATGCTTTTTCTTCTTTTTACAGTCTCCAATGCAGGTGATCTGAGTCAACGTAAAGCTGGAAAAAGCATGTCAACACTGTATGCGACTGATGCAGCAGCCCCAGAATCCCTGATCAGACATTGGGTCACGACCCAAGTGCATTCTCATTCCCTGCCTCGTTCTACTTCGGCCTGGGCTTTGGCTTCTCTCTCTCTCTCTCTCTCTCGCTCCCTCCCTCCCTCCCTCCCTCCCTCCCTCCCTCCCTCTCTCTCTCTCTCTTTCTCTCTCCCTTTCTCTCTTTCTCCCTCATTTCAGTCCTTCGTGGACGCTCACCAGAACTCTCTTTGGATCACAGGGCTCGAGGTAGCGCATTCACATGGGGGGCCTAAGGCATCTGCGGGATGACTGGCAGCTTCACCAATCCGCTCCTGAGACAGCCACAACTTTGTGGGAATGTCTTGAGCGAAAATAGATGTGTTTGCGTCTGTTACTCTATGTTGGATACAGTGGAACGGGAAAACGCGTGTTTGGCGTAGACTGTCTGTACTTGCTCAGTACAGCAGGATAGAGGATGAAATTTGGGAAGGAACGCATGTGACAGCCAGTCATTGCGATCTTGGCGCTGCAGAACGGCGCAATGCACTTCAATCAAGAAGCACATAGACTACACAATGCTGTACCAAAATGTCTCGGGAGTTCAAAGCTGACTGCCGGGGCAGCACCACAAAAGCCTACAGGAACAGTCTTGGTTGAGGGCTTGGGATTTGCCATCATAGATCGCTGGGGCTGCGGCCTTTGCGCGCCTGGCAGGGATCAAGCAAAAACCACCTTTCAGAGGTCCCTCATTCCAGACATTACACGTCGGACATTGCAAAAAGCTGTGCCTGGCCTATGATACTGGCCATGCCATGACTTGGCTTATAGCTTCAATTGACTGTTGCATGCCCGTCCCCTTCACAACCAGTCCGTACTTTGCTGTCTCAAGCCAGTTGGTCGGGGCACGACTCCGGCCTTTCATTGTCCTGGCTCGGTTGGGCATTGGTCCGACCTGTAAGGATCCGATTCCACAGAAATTGCCTATGCCTGAGAAACACACATGGCTGTATGCTCAAAACTCGGAACGATTTTGAGGGCTGTTGCCAAGGAAGCCATCAAGGAACCATTTGGCAGGTGCCGAAAACGAGAGTGACTCACCAGGTGTTCATCCCAACATGTATGGTATGAGCAAAGAAGTTGTCGAGCACATGCAAGAAAATATAAAAGCGCCCGCTTCCACTTTGGAGGAACGCAGAGGGCCATTGCCCGCTGCTGACCTTCAACGTTCCAGGTTGCGACAGTACCACATGCGTTCGCGATCCAATATAAATGGAAAATTATATCTACCTAGCGCTGGATAGCTATTGATACATCTAATTATGCATATCTGTCTATCTGTAGTTCTGCATTTATCAGCGATATGTCGGTCCGGATTATGTCTGTAGACCTATGCTTACTGGCCAGCCAAGGAAACAACAATAAACAACACCAGGCCTGGCAGCTTCGTTATGTGTCTGTGTGTTCGTGCTGCTCAGACTCCCTCACATCTCGTCAGTATCCATGGCCATGTTTCAGGGCAGCTTGCGGGCTGCAAAGACCAAGTCTTTAAGTAGTTTCGAACAAGTCGAAGTCGCGTGCCAACTCCAACTAACCAACTTGGACCTTCGGAATTGCCCGGGCTTTGCTGCTCCTTGGAGCCGCAACACAACACGGGCGATAGAAAACAAAGTATCTTGAACTGCGGTCTGTTGACATGAGCCGCTATCCTCACACATCCTGCCGTGGGATTCGATTTGCGTGTTTGGACAGCTATCTCTCTGTCTATCTCTAGAGAAAGGAATGCGTTGAGCTCTGAGTGCGACCGGACAGAAGGGCCATGCGTGCGCAACATGCCACGTCAACTAACGTCTCCGACCTAGCGCCGAGCTAGCGCGAAGCTAGCGCTGCCAGTGGGATTTGCATGATTTAGGTGGGGGCCCGCTTCATTTCGAAAAGGAAAAACAAATGCAACAGGAATTATGCACATACTGTATATAGCTCCTTAGCCGGCCTTTTTGAACGGAAGCGATATATATATATATATATAGCCCTCTCTCTCTCTCTGTCTCGCTGTCTGCTTGTCTGCCTGCCTGCCTGGCTGTCTATCTGTCTGTCTGTTTATCTGTCTGTCTGTTTATCTGTCTGTCGGTGCCTGTCTGTCTGCCTGTCTGTCTATCTGTCTGTCCGTCTGTTTCCTTCTGTTTCCTTCTGCTTCTGTCTGTTTCTGTCTGTTTCTGTCTGTTTCTGTCTGTTTCTGTCTGTCTCTCTGTCTCTCTGTCTGTCTCTCTGTCTCTCTGTCTGTCTGTCTCTCTCTCTCTCTCCCTCTCTGTCTGTTTG